ACGATAATACACAGTGCCTTCTTGCATTGCTTAGCCCAAAAGCATTTCTCTGGAGTTGGGGAATTACAGAATCAGACAATTATTTAACTTTTGTATATTGAAAATTCCAAACAATTAACCATTTCTATAAAGGAAATGTAATTTTTTATTTTAAATGTTTTAGACTTCATACATAATTTTAAGTTAAATTTCACCAAATACTAAAATGTGTAGAACTAATTTTTGTTGTAGTAATGCTAATAATCTTGGAGGTAATGAGTTATGTAAGTTATTTACAGTTTTATTTTTTCTTGCAATCTTAAAGCACATATTTCATTGATAATGTGAACATTGATACTACACAGTCTGACACTCAATATGATACAGTAATACAAACTAATTTTGAGATGTTTTCATGATGCAAAGGAATTTTATGTTGTAGTTCTATAGCGGAATTGGAGTACATACATTTAATTTAACAAGTTAAGCACTTTTATAGGATGTGAATAACTAACTACTGTATATCACAGCCCGGTTCCTAAGATACATTGTTGATACAAACAAATTTGTTTCTATATATGTATATACAGAAAGTATTGTTGGCTTTTGATATATATGAAATTCACAATTATGCTCTTTGCATTATGGTGGAAAAGATATACGTAGGATATAAGAAGTTTAAGGCCCAAAGTGAAATGTTGGGAACAATATCTCTCAGCACAGTATTATTTTATTTTTCTGTTTCAGATAGGGCTGTTCTGATTTATTATGCCTGTGTCGCCGCTGCCCTCCCGCCCTCTGCCAAATTCAAGCACGCACTCCTGGTGGTTGATCTGGTATACCAAGCTTTTGGGTGCAGCTGCTTGCAGCCTGACATATGAATCACAGCCTGGTTGATCAGGTATCCTTTGGAGGTATTTATCAAGTTCTCTCTCTTGAACACCATGAGAGGTCAGCTAGAAATGTTCCTGTGGTGTAGAGGGAGTGTGCTGAAAAGTCTTGTGCCCTTGATATTGATAGTTCTCTCTTAGCATGCCTACTGCACCTCTGCTTTTTAAAGTAGCTATTTTGCACATCCTACCATGCCTCCTGGTTTCCTGTGGAGTTATTTCAGTGTACAGATTTGGAACTTTTAATGTATACGAGTTTAGGTGACAAGACTCAAAAGAGTAAAGTGGTTATGTTTATTTAGTATAATCTTGGTTACATCATTCTGTTGTTGGAATTGTAATGTGTCATGATAGCTGAGATGAGGCCTGGGGTAGAGAGCTTGAATGTGGCATGAAAGCATATAGCTCAAATGCAGGCAGGATAGTGGAGCTCACATGTAGGACGAGCAGATAGCTTGAGCATGGCTGTCTGATCTGTGGTGAGACTATAGTGTCTTGTGAGAGTAGGGGACTAGACTTAAGTGGTACGTTGTTGCAGAGCCACTGAACCATTGTTACTTTGTTGCAGTCACTGAACCACTACTTGAAGTTAGATTTCCATTATTGTTGACTTATATTCCACGAGTCTTTTGATTTGCCAAGTTGACCCTCATCTTACTAGTTACCTTTTGGCAGTCCTGAGTGATTCCTGTAACCCTTAGGAAGAAGTATTAATTGTAATTAGTGCACATAGGATTAGTGTAGAGCTTCTTAGAATGTAGAATTCTTGGGGATAAGTTATGTGGAATTAACAGGCACATCTAATTGTCTGCATTGAAACTTTAGAGAATTTGGAGCAACTATATTATTCTTAATATAGTTGCTTCAAAACCAGTTCCTTTAATATTTTCCAAGTGTTAATTGTTATGTATTTCTCTTGCCTGCACTCTAGAGAATACATATTTAAAAATTTTAAGCGGTCTCAATAATTTAGATATTTTATTGAGTAGATTCAGACAGTAAAAGACCTTTACACATTCTCCAGGTCAGTAATTTCTCCAGGTTTGAATGGGGCTGTCATTGTGCAGCAATATTCCATCCTAGAAGAGGAAATGTCAGCACTGTGGAGAAATACCTGACCCACCTCTGGAACATATCCAACACAGTACAAAATTCAAACTAAATAAGATTTTAACCGAGATTTAACAGCACACATTGTACATAATCTTATTGAAGCCAACTTATGAGTCATCAATACTCATCCACCGTCTAAGTGATACAGAAATTAGAAACGAGTGAAACTTAGTGCACCAGCCAGATGCTTGTGGCATGAGCAGGAATATCACTGAAAAAAATAAAATTCAACCTAGAGAGCATTAGTGTTCTCAAGTTCTCAACAAAGCAAAAGATTAACACATCCCACTGGCACAGCAGAGGAGGCAGATGTTGCTCAAGGATGATGTGAAGGAGGACTAGCACTCACTCCGCCTAAAGCAACTGATGCACCGACATCACTACCTTGTCCAAAATCCCAAGAAAAATTAGATTGGGACAACATGCTAGAAGAGACAGCAACCCATGGCTTTGCCCATAACACTTTGTGAAACAGCTGGTGGGATTGTACCTGGATGGGGGTTCTGGGAGTTCTTCTACTCCTCAAGCCCAATCTGGGCTGTGCTTGACTTGAGAGAGTTTAGTGCAACAGGCAGCTCACAGGTCCACATTTATCCACTATAGCCCAGTTGATCTGGCACTTCTTGCAGAAAACTGTCCAGTTTTTCTTGAAGATTTCTAATTTTGCTCCGGCAATATTTCTTATACTTGCTGGGAGGATAATGAACAACTGAGGATGTTTAGACAGTGTTTACTGATTGTGCCTATGGCACCTCTACTCTTCACTGGCTCTGTTTTGCATTTCCCTCATATTGTTGACTCCAATATATTGTTATTTTTCTGTGCAAAATTGAGACCGGGCCCTGCAGTATTTACCATGTACAGTATACATAATTTGGTACCTTTTGAGAGCTTTGAGATGATCACAGTAGTTTAGGTGCTTTGTGTCTATGCATGCCATATATGTTCTCTGTATTCCCTCTACTTTGGGAATCTCTCCAGCTCTGAAGGGAAAATTGAGTATCGAGCAGTGCTCAAGGCAGGACAGCAGAAGTGATTTGAATAGTATGAGCATTTTGATGGGATTCCTGGATTTGAAGGTTCTCATAATCTGTCCTATAATTTGTCTAGCCGATGATATATTTTCTTGGTTATACTCCCTAAACCTTGGGTCAATTGAAATCATTACTTTCAAATCCTTTACGTGTTGCTTTCCTACTATGGGCAGATTTTATTGTGTTTTGTTTAGGGTTTTCATTTTTACAGTATCTAAGTACCTAGAATTTATCACTGTTATGAACATCTGACCTACCTCTGTCAGGAAGAGGAGTGAAGAAAGAGAATTGTATTAAGGAAAGTTACAGAGAAGGTTTCTGGATATGATCCAAATTGGCTCACTTGTAGGCCCAGCAAGCCACAAGAAGTGTCACTGCATCCTTTAGAAGTGGCATGAACAATTTGGGTAATAATGTTCTTAGCCATCTTTGTACACAGGCTGTAGAATTATTCCCGAGAGAGCAAAAAGCTGCAACTGGTATTTGGGAAGAAAATTGCTCATGAGATGACAAATAGTGGAGAACCTCTGCCAAGTAAGTCTGGGCCTTGAGGGGTTAAAAAAAAAAAAGACAAAAGCTGCCATCTATGGAGGGAATCTGTATGCAATACTGTACTGGCAAAGACCAACTCTCACAGGGCAAAGATAAAGCAAATAGCACCCTAGTGAAAACATAAAATGAGAAACCCACCAGAATCACATTAAATAGGAAAAACACTTATCACAACCTAGAGAAAGAGGTTTTCTGGCTTGGGAACTAACCCTAAGATGGTCCAAATTGCAACAATTGGCTCCCCCCAAGAACCATCAAAACCCTGGAGTTCTTTCCTGACACAGAGAAAGAAAGCCCAGCTCCAAACCTAAACTCAGAGCCTGGGGAAGAGGGAGAGCCAACTATGGAGGCCTCCTTCACCCTTAGAGAATGAGCCAGTGAAGAGTTCCACACGATCAGGTGGAGGGCAACAGAGGAAGGCATAGGCACTACCTTAACAGTCTTGGAGCAGCATATGAAGTTCATGCTGCTGGTGTCTTCCAGGCCTTAATCCTGAGATCTTTTCACAATTGTTGTGGGGGCTGGGAGGCCTTCACAGCAATCTTGCAAGAAGGAAGACTACCAGCCAGATTGGGAAAAGCTGAAAGTTATGGTGTCTGGATTTTGTGCAAGTAAGGGAGACGGTAACCTCCCAAAAAGAAGGAGGACCGCAAAGCTGGGGAAGGAGACCCTCAGTTTCGAGCCCACAGATGGCAGAGAACTGGAAATTCTCCACTTCGGGAGTAACTCTGTGCCGTGTAAATGTACCTGGGAGTTAGTCAGCTGTCACAGGCTGCTTCCTGGAGGTGGAGGCCTGGTCGAGGACCGGGCCGCGGGGACACTAAAAAAAGCCCCGAAATCATCTCAAGATAACCTCAAGATAAGTATCAAAGGGTTTCAAAATCATCATAAAACAGGGAAACTCAATTTCATGCTAGCAACATTTGGATGCAAAAAAAGCCTGAAGTGAGAAGCATGAGCTTGCAAATGTGCCACTGCTGTTAGGTCCACTCAAGGTTTTGCCAACACAGAGGTCTAGTGATGATATACATCACACCCCAATTGGTAGAATAGCAAATGAGCCCAACAGGAGTAACAATAGCAGCCATCAGGTTAAAAAAAAAAAAAAAAAAGACACCTTGGAAAGCTACGTGTCTGTCACTGAATTGGGTGGTGGACTCAATATGTCTCGATTCAAAGATGAGAAGGGACACACAAAAGAAAGAAGGGAATGATTACTCGAGTGCAGACCTAGCTACAGGAGAAAAGCTCTAACTCGCATGCAAGCCAGAACTGAGAGCATCTCGCACAAATAACTACCCAGATATCTGAAAAAATATACCAAATTTGTATTCTCTCTGTTAATCTAGACTTTTGGATAATGTTGTTTTGTATGACTGTGATACACTTGTGTCACATACAAAATGTGTGATAAGGGTTTTAATATGCCATGAATTCTGATTCACATTTATTTCACTGATAATCTATCTTTAAATAAAACATATGTTGGTCTCTGAATGGCATACAAGCATGTATTCTGGAAATTGAATTTAAATAAGTTAATATTATACTGTCATTACTTCTTGTAACCTCTTGGACAATTGTACTTCATTCTGTCACTTAGTACAATGCATAACATTCTAATAGGAGCCCATAATTATTAGATAATTTGCTGTCAAATAAGTTTAATTTGAAATATTTCAGTAGTGCTGTTACTCAAAATCAACAAATTATCTTTTATCTGGTAACATGAACATCCTCAACTTAATATCCATGAAGTACAATATTTTATCATATAAACAAATGTCAAGAATAGCGTTCAGGTGTTTATTAGACATAACATTTGCAAAATGTTGCTATATTATGAAGGACATTAAACCAACTAATAAAATAGCATAATTATCAGTGTCGGTAATTTAATGCTAGCTGCTATATTGTTGATCAGATGATATTAAATGTAATTATTGGACTATACTGTACTATAACTTACACTATTAAAAGAAAGGAAAATATATTATTCAATTCTCATGGAAGCATTATAATTTTATGCAGGGACTATTTCAAGTCAGGCATACATATCGTAGTCATAACTGCAGTGTAAAGCATGGCACATGCAGTATAGTCGTAACCTGCAGTGTTAAGGCGTAACATACAAAGCATCCTTGCATTCTGTATATACTGCTACCTCTTTTTAAAAGAGGACATTGCATGTCAAATCACTTAATATATTTTTCAATATAGTATGGTTTCATCGTTATTTTTAACGTGTCAAAATTGATTTGTTGTAATATTTTTTGACAATATTACTGCTGTGTCATGCAGTTTTATGAAGATTAATTGTTGTCTACATTTTAAGGGTGTATATTCCTGTTTCAATGAAGATTAATCATTACAAAAATTATGTAAACAGTAATTTTTAAAAATCACAATTATAAAATCCATTCTTTTCACTCATAATGTGAATGCACCAAATTATTCTCATTCTTTTGGAAACGTTTTATCATTGACTTCAGAGCCAGGCAACATTTTTCTTTGGCTTGATCACAGATAAAACAATTCATACTGACTATCTGGACATGCACACCATTAAACAAGGAATAATTAAAATTTGCATCAAAACTTCCACTATGTATGCACTGCTTATTGTTATATTCATTTATTAACTGACTTTATTTGTGGTACAGTACTACAATATAAGTCTGTTCCACCATAATTTTTTTTTTAAGTGTTGGGCTTTAAGCATATCAACCACAGGAAGGTTATTAAGGCCACCAAGGTGCTTATTAACCCACTAGTAAGTATACATTAGTTTTCAATATAGTCCAGACCTCAAATACCATAATCTATATATAATACAGTCAGGATTGTTCTCGACACAAAATTAGTGATTGCAGGTTCGAATCCTGGATGGGACAAACATATTTGGCTGTGTTTCTTATCACCTAATGCACTTCTTCACCTACCAGTAAATTGGTACCCAAGATTTATCTTGTTGTGGGTGTTGCATTCTGGGGAGGGCAAGTAATGTAATTCAAACTTGCGAGGGCGATATGGGGACATCAATATAAGCCAAACATGTATATACACTGGCTGCCTGTCCCCAGACACAATGAATTATTAATTATATATACACTGAAAAGAGGTATAATTATCTCATTACAGTAGCCCATTTACACTCAATGAGATTAAATGGGCTACTGCCCATTTATCTCATTGTATATATCCTTTAACATTAGTTGGTAGGGGATGCATTTTGTTTCTTGTAATCCATATTCAGCATAGTGTAGTATTTATATTCTTCAATAACCAATTATTTCTCATAATGGAAGTTATCATTGCAAATTATTAATAAGACAATAATATATATATATATATTTTGATTATCTATTGCTACATAACAATCCATAACTCGTACAAAATTTAAGCATTGAGTAAAATAGTGATTTCTAAAACAGGATTAAATTCAATAAAAACACATTCAACAGCATATGGTTGGAATTAAATCACTTTGAAATAACCCGTGCATTTCAATATATTACGTTAACTGTTAAATAAAACTAAAATTCACAACATATAGGATTCAAGTACAGTACATATAAGATATATAAATTAATCAAAGTGTGTTAAAATGCTTTGGCTATAATCCAAATTATTGCAAAATCACAATTATTTTTAATTTAAAAGAACAGGTAAAAAAACTGTAAACAGTTGATTGTGCTGTACAGACTATGAAATAAAATAAATTTAGTTTTGCACCACCAAATAGATCAGGTGTTTATGTAATGTTAAAGTCATATATTAAAGTTTGATACATTGTCTAAAAACCATTATGATGTAAAATTTGTTCATTAAAAAATATTGATAATGAAATCTTTCTTTTAAAACTGTTACTACTAATTCATTAAAACATTTATGACTTTATCACTACTTAAATATAACAAACATTTTGATAAAAAACACAAGCATCAGGTTCTTTAAAAAACATTGCATCCACAGCACACACACACACACACACTTTTTTCTGAGAACAGGGAATGCACTTTTAGTAAGTCGGACATAATGTGACTTAGGTGTTAAATATAATAGCAATTACTCTCAGAATGTTTGCTTCTGTTTCATGAATGTAGAAAACCTGGAATGCACCTCTTAAACTTCATTTTAAACTGCATGAGCAATATTCTTAGGCTCAGAATACCAAAATACGCTTTTCTACAGGCTTACGGCATATTGGACACTCGTGCATGCGATCTCCACACATCTGACATGTCCCGTGGCCACAAAGGAAGATCATATTCTTCAAGCGATCAAGACAAACGGGACACATTGTCTGAAAAAAAAAAAAATATACAAATGTTTGTAATTATGCATATTCAAATAATACAAGTACCTATATATTTAATTGTATACTGAAATGCAAATACATACATAGTATGTGTGTACTGTAACAGGATCAGAGCTACACTTGTGGTGTCCCATCTTCCTAGCACTCTGTCATATAACACTTTGAAACAGTGCATACAGTGGTACCTCAGCTTGCGAATTTAATCTGTTCCCAGAGACGGCTCGTAAGCCGAATATTCGTAAACTGAAGCGAATTTCCCCATGAGAAATAATGCAAATTGAATTAATCTGTTCCAGACTCCTCAAAAAGTTAACTTTAAAGTAAATTTTATACCTAACTCACCCAAATCTTCAGTACTGAAGTATGTACAAGTTAATACTTACCTTTACTGATGACTCTTGTTGGCGTATGGAAGACGGTGAGGAGGGGGGAGGAGGAGAGATGTTAGTGTTTGGAAGGGGAGTCCCCTTCCATTATAACATCAGGCAGTGATGACTTCTCTGGGGTACACTCTCTGGCACGTTTAGCCTGCATACCACTAGGACCTGCTTGTGGCTCACTGCCTGGTTTTTCTCACTTAAAATCCTGTCTAGTGACACTTGTTTTTCCCCATGTTGTAACACTTGTTTGAAGTGAGACATCACATTGCCATTGAAAAGGTTAACACAATGGCCTACTACAGCTTGCTCTGGGTGAGTTAATAACAACTTTTCAACATCCTCAAGTGTTTGTGTTCTTTGTTTCATGATTGTTAATACACCTGCCACTTTAGCCCTCATAATGTTCTTTTGTTGTACTGCCTAGCTAGTTCAACAACCAGTGTACCATTTTCATGTTTATGAATGATCTCTTGTTTTTCCTCTATGGTCATTCTCACACGTGTTTTCTTGGCTTGAACCTTATCACTGGCTTTCTTCGGACCCATGGCGAGATATATAACAACAACTTTTATGTTCAAATACCCAAAAATCCAAAAAAAACTAATTCTTTACAAAGAATTCAGGCGCGATTGTCACAAGGCGGGAGGCACTGGTAAACTGACGCGTGATCGCCGTGCCACAACACGCTAGGTTGGCCATATGCGTATCAACAAACTCGTTTCCCGAGGCAAAGTTCGTTATCCCATTCGAATTTTCTGAAGAAATTAGGCTCGTAACCCGAAAAGTTCGTAAATAGGGGCATTCGTAAGCCGAGGTGTGACTGTATTGACTTTTTTGGTCTCCAGTAAAGTACTTGTGCTGACCCATCTTGACTACTGCTCAAGTGATTTGAATAGTACGACCATCGTGATGGATCCCTGAATTTGAAGGTTCTCGTAATCCATCTGTAGCGAGTAAACCTATACTCACTCCATTATCTCATCATCTTAATGGCATAACTAATTACACAAGCTATAATCCTATCCCTATTTTCAGGTAACGGTTTTTCCACCCTCCTATCTTACTGTGAGGTGTAGTAACTGTATATAAGCCAGCGATTTGAGAATAGCAAACCAGTACAATCTCCAGTCAAGAATGTAGTACTCGGCGTGGGCAGTTCTAATTGACCTAAGACACGCTACAGTTTTTTTCTATTTTTCTAAAATTCGTCTTAAGTCAATTTCTGAAAATATTTTGATGAAAGTTTCACAAGACTGAAGCCAATAAGTTGGAGATTTGTTTAACATTTTTAAGTTATTTTTACATAATTTGAATATTTTTCGCTACCATGCCCCCTATTTTCACGGTAATATGCGCGGTCTAAGGGTTAAGGTTCAGTATTTTAAGTATATTCAAGAAATTAACTGATTAATCAAACCTGTTCCTTAATATCATGGAGCTGCTGCTGAAGTTTCTGCAAGTCTGCGGATGACATATCCCGTGACCCATTATTCATGAGCGGTCCCGTCGGTCCGGGGACCACAACACCGGCAGTTGACGCTGCTGCTGATGCCACATTGCCGGTATTATTGTTGTTGTTGTTGTTGTTGCTGCTGCTGCTACTGCTGCTGCTGCCACCGCCAACACCACCACCACCACCACCACCACCAGCACCACTACCGCCAACAGTACTGCTACCACTACTGTTGTTGGCACCACCAGGAAGAATGGATGCTGGTGCTGGAAGGTTATGATCCCAGTTAAGGTTATTTGCAATTGAATCCATCAAACTGCCACCACTACCACTGCCACCACCACCTTCACTGGCACTGTTGTTGGGGGCCACACTTGGACCCGGGTTGGAGCCCACCACTGCAAGGTTACAATGTGTCAGTTAATATTTGTAAAAATAAAGTCAATTTAATGATGCTAGTCTGATAACATGCAAATTATATGAAAAGAAAAGCATTTTGTTACAATAAGCTTTGAGAAATTTAATAACACTTTTAAAGCAATCTGGACATATCACAGAACTCCATCATATAAAGCTAGAAGAAATTATTACGTACTTTATTAAGTCCATTCAGGGCGAGTCCATTCATATTCTACATTTTCACGTTTTAACAAGAGCTCTTCTAGGAAGATTATTCTATTCTAAGTTATTCTCATAATACTGATTTCCTGAAAGGCATCATACACAAAACCCTGAACTATGTTATATAGAGATGCTAACCAGATTGTTAAGATACTTATGAAACTAAGCCAAAACACACAAAATAGCAACAAGAGGTGAAGTTTGGCAAGCTAAAATAGGTAGACGTAACAAATGAGTAATAGCGAAATAATTTGAGAATAGATCCAAATTAATATGAGCATGTTAGACTGCATATGCAAAGATCTGCTTCATGTTCAAACACTTAATAGGAAGAAAGATACCAAGTGTGCATGCATTTGTAAGTCTTATGTGCAGTTCAACAGAATCAGACATTTATCCGACTAAGAATCAGAAAGTATGTTACAGATGAAATAATTACTGTACAGTATATACAAATATTTGAAAATCAAGACATTAATAACCAATAAAGAATACTATAATGTACAAAATCTTGTATGAATATGCAAGAAATATATGTTCATAGTTTTTGGAATTCAGATTACAAAAATCAAACATGCTTATTCAGTACAAATAAATATCTTATCAAGGTAACTAAAATTGGCCAACATCTGCTATTCCCCCAACAAAACAGATGTTACCACATCACTTGATAATCCTCAAATACACCTTGACTATACATATGCTTCTCCTTTCTCTAAACGTCTTGCTGTATTTTTTGCAAGTCATTTAAATCACTGTTAGTGCTTTAAAATTAACTGCTCTTGCATATTAATATAATTCAAGCATTTATATACAGTACTTTTTTATTTTTTTTATTTATTTATATATACAAGAGTTCTTACATTCTTGTACAGCCACTAGCGCGCATAGCATTTCGGGCAAGTCCTTAATCCTAATTTTCACACACACATATTCCCAGGAAGCACCCCGTAGCAGCTGTCTAACTCCCAGGTACCTATTTACTGACAGGGGCATCAGGGTGAAAGACACTCTGCCTATTTGTTTCTGCCTTCAGCCGGGGATCAAACCTGGAACTTTAGGACTACGAACCCCATAGTGCTGTCCACTCAGCCATCAGGCCCCCTAACTCTAAGTACTGTAATTATTTTTAAGACTGCTACCATCTAAACTGAATATATTGTATTGTAAAAGCTCAGTAATATAAATTCTGGAAACTCAAATCTTCTGGTAATCCAAATGAATTCATGATCATCATTTTTGAGTAAATGGCAGGAGTAAGCATTTTCACTATGCAAATGTGAGGTCAAACGGTGTGAGAGAATAGTGATCTCTCAGCTAGACTTGTACCCTGTGGTAGCTGTGCAATCCTGTGCATTAGTATATCACCCTATCCAGACACATGTATCTCGTGTATGAATTCTACAGATCGGTGATCGCACTGACAATTTAGATATCGTGCGTGGTGCCATATGACATCTGGTTATACTAGCAGATGGCATTTAATATGTCTCGCCTGTATAATTATGGGTTGCGCCTCGCACCATAAGTTTAGCTGTAGAACATGGCAGGTAGCGAGAAGAGGTCAGGGCTGACCTGACCTTCACCAACAGTTCTGATAACCCTGCTTCCCACATCCAGTGATGTGGGAAGACTATCATACCAGGACAGACTAGGAGCCAAAATAGCAGAGATGATCTCATCAAAATCTTTAAAATACAGGACAAATTCAAGACATTTATATAGAGCTTTATATGGATCGATATAATTCTCACAAGGAGCAACACCAAGCTCAACAAGCCACAATGGGAATAATGACAACAGGAGATGCTCTTAAACCCATAGAGTAATTAATAAACCCACCAGTGTATACCAAGACAATGCTTCAACTCAAAATGCAGCTGGAAAAATCCTCAGTAATAATAGAGGGGACCTTCCATAAGGCATCAGTATTCTATCCCTGTAGAAACCACTAGAGATTGTGGCCCTATGGTAAATTCATATAAATCATGAAATGGCCAGATCTTTGTTTAGAAGCTAGACCTAGTGAACAGCTAGAGCTTAAGTTTCCTGATATTTGAAATATCTCCAAACATTGGTGTTTCAAACAGCAAGTGTTTACTAACTGCACTTGCATAAAATTCAGTTTTTGGTTCACTTTTCTTCTTCTTGTTGTAATTCATAGATATGAAGTGAAATATAAATTTACAGTTCTTATGTGAATAAGCAGTGTATGTTCACTGTCCAAAATGAATAATAAATGATTAATTGCTAAATGGTTATTAAATCCGTCATTATCTGATAAGCTTATATCACTATGAAGATGAACCGCCTTTATTTTGCATTTTCTTTAAATAACAGCAGTAGGAAAACTTCTCGCTTTTCACCTTTCCACCTTTTAAATTTCATGTGAAGTTAGATTCTCAGGTAATTAACAAAAGTTTCATATCATTCTTACCAATCAAAAGCCCAAATGACACCTCCCTACATTACAGCGAGTTTCTGACACATCAGTTACCAGAAGAGTCCTTTCTCAATACGTAACCTACAACCATAATAGTGTTTCATGTAAAAAAATATCCTGGGCAGGCTTCCTTGATTGCTTATCTGAAAAAATATTTTAGTATCTTAGTCAACTAAAATTTCAAAATATTAATTCAACTACGAGTGCTGCAAAAAGAGAGCCTTCGTCAAAAAAATCTGTGAGTAAAGACAAAAATAACAACCTGAAGAGAAGAGAGGTGATCACAATTCCATATTATCTGACATAGATTGGATAATTCAATGAACAAAAACATTTTGGAGGATTTTTGAGCTGTTCCACTCAGTCATCATTCCCTAAGGTAAGATCCAATTCACTTCTGTTTAGCTAAAGTTATGAAAGGCTAACATTCTGTATTGTGGCAAAATGTATAATTAACAAGTCAACTGTGCATGTCTAGGTTTTAACCAACCAGTGACCAGATTTATCTTCTCTGTGCCTGGTTAGTCATTGCCTTTCAGTACTGTATAGAGATTCTCTGAGAATCTCTTAAGAATTTCTCTGCTACATTCATCAATTTTTGGTGCCTGATGATTTTATTAAGTTTCTGTATATATTTTTCTAGCTGGACGATGTAAAATACTGACCTGCACTGACTGTGGCAGATCATATCAGAAGGTGAAAAGGACCTTGCTTTATCAGTGGCTGAGTGTATTGTTCACAAAAGATATATGCAGTACTATGCATACACTCAAATTTAGATTGTTTAAACATTGAAATTCATTATATTTACAAATTACTGTACAGAAAATCCAATCATATCAAATTAAAATAAATATGGTTAACTCAGTTGGAGAATAATGGGATTGCTACAAAGAGTGCAGATACATGTTGTGCATCATCAACTGGGGCAACTGAAACAAAGAGTGCTTGAATATTAGAGAAGAAAACAGTTGCACAAAGATTCTAACATGGGGTGAAGAAAACATGAAGCAAATCTGTACACGTGGCTCCTTTTTTCCTCTTAAAAACACTGAAATAATTTCAGTAATGAACACTAATAAATATACAGTATTACTTGTGCCTACCTTGCCCGCCACAACAAACGATGAAAGGAATCTGTTTCTCAATGACTCCACGGCACTGTACGCACTTCTTCATCAGGGAAGCACAGTTATCACAAGCACACATGTGTCCACAAGGTTGAAAGAGAACTGTGGCCTGTTTGTCTGAGCAAACTACACATTCTTCAATCTGTGAATTACATTATGAATTAAAACTACAAGTTAATAAAATACAGGGCAGCCATTAGATGTTGACTAAAGATAAATTTGGTAAATTTAGTAATTTTATTCAAGCATTCAAACGATTAAGTTCCTGGAGTTTAGAATTTGTATTCAGTACATATTTAAATTGCCTTTTTATTGTTCAATTACATATACTATATAAACAAATAAATTCAATGTCATACTTTTTAGTGTAAGTTATTTAAAAACATTATTATTTTTAAATTTAAATAGCAACTGGGCTTTTGACAACCCCACATGTTTGAAGTCCACTTTCTCCTCCATGGAAAGGAGGAGAAAGTAAACTTTAAACTTCCTTAATGACACAAAAAAAGCCTCCACGAGCCCTATCTAAACATTTTCTTTGAGCTTCTGTATTCCATATGTCATCATGCAGCCTATCCAGTATGTAATCCTCCTCTTCAGCTTTTCATGATGTTGGTTATGTACTTATCACTCAACTTCCCTGTTTCACTTTTGTGTAACTTTCTAGTTAGTTAACTCCCCCAGTTAACTTCCCTAGTTAACTCCCCCTAGTTAACTCCCCTAGTCATCATTTCTGAGAGTACAAACTATCAGAGAGTATGTCTCCCAACCAATATTATTCCTCAACCTGCATCTCTTACCATTTCTGACATCTCACATCTTGATACATTTTCTAGCACTTGAATATTTCTTACATACCCAATATACATTTCTTATATAATTCATGGTTAGATGATTATTTTAACTGGATTTTAGATCCAAATCAGATCTAATTTCGAGATCAAATTCAGATCAAATGTAGATTAAATTCAGATATAAAATTGTTGTGACATAAATCTTAAGTATAATTAGCTTAGATATCTAGTAATCCCATCAAGTGAATGGAATAGAAAATGAGAATAAGTTGAATTATCCAACAAAGTACAGAGGTCGCTAGTTGGTTAAATTTATATACAAGTACAGTACTGTACATATAAATATTATTATCAGAACATTTGAACTTTTGCATCTAAGATTATTTTGTAAATTATTCAACTTAACAATGTAGTTAATTCTTCAAAATATGTCTTACCTTAGTTCTGGACTGCACGGGTTCCTTACACATGAGGCACTTCTTAACCCGTGGGGAGCAAATGGAGCAGGTGGCTATGTGGCCACAGGGACCGAACAGTGTGTCCCGCTTCGTATCCGAGCACACCATACACTCCTCCAGGCTTTCTTCTGCACACACCTCCAGTGCACCCATATCACCAGAACTGCAATTCACAGTGCCACATTATAAAAAAATAACTTTGAACACATTTCATCATGAGTAAATGGGACTTAAAATTATACTACATTTAAAGACATACTGTATACTCTTGTATTTCTAAAACATAAATGGAATACGATCTGACAACTTAAAATAATATATTGATACAATTTTCACATACAATATTGGACCCATTAGTAAATATTAAATCCCAATATTTTTATACCAGTATTTGTGTAACATTTATAAAATATTTTGTTTAAATTTAAAGGAAATACTGTACAGTAATGACATTATAGTTGTATATTTAAAAATGTATAAAAACGGCAATTATAAGAAATACGCAAACCACTTTGAACACTTCTCCCAGCAATGTAGCCATAATTACATAGATTTGTCCTTATAGCACTTGGTAAGGGCTTTGCACAAGTTTGGGTCCGGACAGAGGTCTAGCGGCGTTTGTCCTTTCTTGTTCTTGATGTTGAGGTCGGCACCATGAGCAGCCAGCAAACAGGCAATGGAGGCCGGACTCTTCTTGTCAACGCCTTGAGTCCCCAAACCCATCAGCAACTGGGGTGACTTGAAGAGTATAAGTTAAAGGGATTTGCAGCAAAATATATATTTTTTTATATAAGACTTCAATGTATAATTAATTTAATATATTGTTATGTAGCTGCATATGTTTCAAACATTTTATTGAGCAACATTGCCTTTACAAGTAACATGCTTTATAAAGGGGGGAAAATCGCTAGGAAAACAAATTGATGATCACACGTAAGATTTATCTATGTAATTTATAAAGATTTGTGTTATTTTGCTGATGTGCATCCAATTTTCACAAATGTATGATTCATGTAAGAGCTGTAAAATATCATGTCATCAACCTAATTGATTAGAGCCAGTGAAATGCATTGTGTTCCATGAGAGCTGTGTGGTGGGACATGGAGTGAGGACTGTACCATGAGGCTCTAGTGGTGTAGTGTATGGTAATGTGTACTATGAAGCTTTGTGGTGGGGGGAAGTCTGTAGGAAGTGATATCTAGTTTTAGGATGCACCCTCTGGCCATTTGTATCCAGGGTATATTATAATTCCTGATGGTAAGGTTCAGTGTTGTTTGGTCATAAAGCTGTAGATTGAGGCAGCTTCCACAACTTCTTTTGATATATTCCACCTAGATAGTGTATGAGTATTTGATGTTTCTGCCTTCTCTGACTTTCTAGTTTCAACTTGTACACTCTTGGCCTCTTATCCCTTAACTGTAAAAAAGTTGTCCTTTTTATTCCTTTTAATATTTTTATGTAGTGATTATGTTTCCTCTGGCCTCTTCTCTCCTCTAAGAGTTGTTAGGCTAATCACTTAATTTGTAGCCAATTTTACTTTGGCTTGTTTTCAATCCTTGGACATTGTATTATTTTGTGTGCTTCAAGAGATGAAGATACCATGCCAAAGCAGCATATCCAGGAACTGGTGTGATTTAAACTGTGTATATTGTCTTATAAGACTAAATTTTATTTACATAACTTGTATGTTTGCTTATGTGCGCTTCCAGTGTGAATAATAGTATACCGTCATCCTGTTGGTGAGTCTGAGGGGTCAACATTCCCGTGGCCCAGTCTCTGACCAGGCCTCCTGGTTGATAGTCTGGTCAACCAGGTTATTCAATGCAGCTGCTCACAGCCTGGTTGATCAGGTATCCTTTGAAGGTGTTTGTCAAGTCCTCTTTTGAACAATGAAAAAAGTTGGCCAGTTATGCTCTTTATGTGTAAAGGGCCTAACACATAATTCTGTCCAGTATTTTCCATGAACATAATATTGCATCTCTGCTTTTCAATTGGGCTATTTTACACGTCCTACCATGCCTTCTGGTCTTGTGTGGTGTTATTTCTGTGTGCAGATTTGGAACCAGTCCATCTAGTATTTCCAAGTGTAAATTATTATACAGATCTTTCCTGCCTGCACTCTAGGGAAAAGATATTTAACAATTTTAAGCAGTAACAACAATATACAGTAGATGTTTTATTGAGTGGATTCTAGCGATAAAATATTTTTGCACTCTCTCCTGGTCAGCAATTTCTCTAGTGTTTTGGGGGGCTGTTTATAAGCAACAATATTCCACTCTAGAGAGTACTAGTGACTTGAAAAGTATCATCATAGGTGTGACATCTCTTTGCTGAAAAGTTCTTATTATCCAACCTGTCATTTTTCTTGTGTTTGTGACAGCTCCTTTGTTGTGTTCTTTAAAGGTAAGGTCATCTGACATGATTACTCAAATATTTTACACTGCTTTTCTTTCAATAGTGTGGTTTGACTGCATTTTATATGTGGTTTCTTTTTTTTATATTTTCGCTTTTTTTCATAATGCAGTACTGTAACTGGAACTTTTACTCGAATCTTGCTCTCTTTTTGACAATGGCTGCCAGTTTTATTTTATTGTATAGTTCCTTCCCAGTCTCCTTTGCCTTCTTTATATATTCATTACCTTACACTTTAGGAGCTTAATTCTAGAAACCATTTGGTTACTCCATCTTGCTGAGATTATCATGCATCATCCTACTGTTCAACTTAGCATTACTCTCAATAGCTTTATGGCATCTTCAAACATTGATATATAGGAACTCACCCCTTCTAATAGAAAATTTACAGTACTATATATGGATTAGGAGAGCAGAGCCAAGGAATGAGCCTTGAGACACCCCACTTGCTGCCTATCACCATTTCATCATCTCATCTCTGAATATGACCTTTTATTTCTTATCTATCAGGTACTCCCTTACCAATTCCATGTACTTTTCCTGTAATTCCAGCTTGATCCTTCATTTTATACATTAGTGCCTAGCCTATTGTGAGGAATAGTCTCAAAAGCAATTTAACAGCCTATGAACATGCAGCTTACACAGGTCCAATCTTGGTGGCCCAGTTGTAGAACTCATTGAAGTTTCTGTCATGGCTTTCCCTCTCTAAAACAATGTTTTTGCTCCATCATAAAGTTTGTTTTGTCCAGCTATTCCAGTATTCCTTCATTATTTTATGGAGTGCTTCACATGATTCAGACGACTTGTTTAAAAGGTCACATGTAACACAAACAAGGAGCAATGGGTTCAAGCTTAAACCACAATGTAAGACAGAAAACAGGAGATGCTTTTTCACCCATCGGGTTATACACACATGGAACCGCCTACTCGCCGAAGCCGTAAATGCCAATTTACTGCTGCAATTCAAAATGAAGCTGCTTTAAATCATCAGGATAAATAGGGGACATTTGAAAAGTCAATGGCTTCCTGTCGTTGTCGAGGTCACTAGAGAGATAGTGGCTCTCAGGTAAATTCGGGCAATGTATGCTAGTGAAATTAATCTGTAGTTTATGGCTTTCTGTCACTCATATTTCTTGAATATTGACTTAGATCATTGCATTTTTCTTTTTCCAGATTTCTGGGAGCTCACCAGACTTATATCTTGCAAATTCCATAGTTGGGTAGTTACAGAATATCCCTAAAGGCTCCTTCAGCAACCATGGTTATATTTGATTCTGCTTTACTGATACTGTATTGTGCTTATTATATGCCTTGTAGTTCTGTAGAGTGCAGTGTAAGGGATGGTGTGCCGTGAAGCTCTGTGGTGATGCGTATGTCATAAGTTATTTTAAGTGTATGTGAGCAGTATATTACTTTTAGGGTGGTATGCAGTACTATATACTAATAATAATGATTATTATACAGCACAGTACTGTATACAATACAATGCTATATTTGCAAGTTGGCCACTTCCCCTTCCACTCACCTTTCCAACATCTTGCATGTCCTGCAGTTGCCTGAGCTGAGATAGTGTGTGGTGCCTCAGGGCCTCGTGCAGCGGAGTGTCTCCATCCTTGTCTGCTAGATTTAAGTTAGCTCCTTCTCGAACTAACAGCTAAAAAAAAAAGACATAGAAAGTTGTAATTTGTGGTGATAATCTCCTTTGATAGTTGCGTTCCTTAACAGAACCTTTTACATATATCTGCTAAGTTCACAATACAGTACTGTAATGATATATGTAAACTTATTTAAATAGTAATCCAGTGTCAGGTCAAATGTTATACAATGTTTTGAGGCAATTTTACAATGAGCGCTATCAAGATGGGAAGCTCATAGCCCTGGTGTCAGCACTCTGCCTACTCAACTAACACAAAAGAAAAGGAACTCTGAGATCCAATAATTAAGGACCGTGTCAAACTATGGCCGCGAGGTACCTGGATAGGGTTCTGGGAGTTCTACTCCCCTGACCCGACTGTGAGAGCTTGGTCCAACAGGCTGTTGTTTGGGTGGCCCGCAGGACACATATCCACCACAACCCGGTTGGTCCGGTCCTTTTTTTTTTAAGATGTCCAGTTTTGTTTTGGCAATATTTGTTTATACTTGCTGGGAAGATATTGAATAACCGTGGAACTCTGATGTTCATCCAGTGTTCTCTGATTGTGCTTATGGAACTTCTATTCTTCACTGGTCTATTTTGCACTTGCCACCATATGTGCCATTTTACTGTTTCAATTTGAGACCTGGCCTTCCAGTATTTTCCACGTATATATTATGTAATACCTCTCTCAGTACATTTTGAAAGCTTTGAGTTTTCGGTTTGAAAACTCAAAGCCGGTTTGAATAATTTAGGTCCTTTATCGCGTCTATGTATGCCGTATATGTTCTCTGTACATATTTTCTCATGAGAATAAGAAAAAGCAGTGATGCAAGGACTGTGCCCTGAGATACAGAGCTTTTCACTTTGCTTGCATTCTGTTTGACAGAAAATTGAATATCCACTGCCCTACTTTACTTGTTATTCCTACTGACCTCATTTTGTGGGCTATTATTCCATGGTCACATTTATCAAATGCTTTTGCAAAGTCCGTGTATATTACATCTGCATTTTGTTTTTCTTCTAATGCCTCAGTGATTTTGTCATAGTAGTCAAGTAGCTGTGAGAGGCATTATCTTCGCGCTCTAAATCCATGTTGACCTAGGTTGTGGAAGTCATTGGTCTCCATGAAGCTAGTGACCTGACTCCTGATCACCCTCTCAAATACTTTTATTATGTGGGGACGTTAGTGAGACAAGTCCATAATTTTTAGCCAATGCTCCCTCTCTTGTCTCTTGTGTACGGGAGCTATATATCTGCTGATTTAAGAGCTTCTGGTATCTCCTCAGTGTCCAAGATTTTCCTCCAGACCACACTGAGCGCTCGTGCTCCTGACAATTTACATTTCTTTATAAATATAGAATTCCACGAGTCTGGACCTGGGCCCGAGTGAATGGGCATTTTGTCAATTTCTGTTTCAAAATCTGCGAGTTTGTGTTTATATCGGTTATATTGTCAGGGGTTTGGAACTTTGGATATCATTAATAAAGAAGCTGTCCGGAGCTTCCACTTTTATGTTGTTTATTGGGGGGTGTTAAATATAGCCTCATATTATTTTTTAGGATTTCACTAATTTCTTTGTCGTCCTCTGCGTATAAGCCTGTAAGTATAGGTTCAATATTGGTGGAGGCTTTTGATTTCGATTTCGCATATGTGAAAAAATATTTTGTATTATTCTTTATCTCATCTATGGCTTTCTGTTCCTATTTAATTTCTTCAGTCTGATACGTCTGCTTCAGTTTCTGCTATATTTCTTCAATTAAATTATTTTTCTTTGTTGGGACAATCGCGTCTGCTTAACACTTCCATTGTCTTTTCTTTTTCTGTAGTGTTGTCTGCCATCCTTTTCTAACTTACTTTCCGCAAAGGAACATGTTTCAAACGTTGTAGGCTTCTGCAGTCAAAGAGACGTTGTAGGCTTCTGCAGTCAAACAGACGTTGTAGGCTTCTGCAGTCAAACAGACGTTGTAGGCTTCTGCAGTCAAACAGACGTTGTAGGCTTCTGCAGTCAAACAGACGTTGTAGGCTTCTGCAGTCAAACAGACGTTGTAGGCTTCTGCAGTCAAACAGACGTTGTAGGCTTCTGCAGTCAAACAGACGTTGTAGGCTTCTGCAGTAAAACAGACGTTGTAGGCTTCTGCAGTCAAACAGACGTTGTAGGCTTCGGCAGTCAGTTACTCTATTTTTGTTACTTAAAAGTTTCCTATTGAATGTTTGCAAGTTCTATGTTTATTTTTTCCCAGACATTATCATTAAAATTGAATTTACTGAATAATCCCTATCGCTGGCAATTTTTTTGAACATGTTACAAATACTGGTGTTAGTTTGCACTGCAATGAGCTTTTGATCTGAGTATGTGGTCCCTGAGATTGTAATGTTTATGAAGATCCTAGTTGGCTCTCTTATCTGCCGCTTGAGCGAAAATCTGGCCGCAGAATCTCAGTAGTTCTCTGACCTGTGGTTCATTATTTCTAGGTCGACTTCCTGGTATAATGTTAGCGTTTGTTATTCTCCATCTCAGACTGGAGAAATTTGCGGGCAGAATGGTGCTTTTAAGATTTGCCTCGTGATATTGTGCATAAATACAAGGATACATATAAAAACACACACACACACAAGATATCATACCTTAGTATGCTAAAATATGTTTTATACCAGCAAAAACACAGCAGTGACAAATGAATGACCTAACCAGTTCACCAGTCAAGACAAAGAGGAAGAGACCCACCCTGACGATCTGCGTGTGGTGGCGCTCCACGGCCAGGTGAAGTGGCGTTTGTAGATTCACATTCTGAAGGTCCATATTGGCCCGCCCCTGGTGGACCAGCAGCTCTGCAACCTGGTGACGGGATGACAACGTCAACTGCTACTGCCAAATGTACACTTGGTAGGAAACGTAGATGTTTATCTCTCAGACTGTTTGGTAATATGTTTATTGTTTGTGATGTGTGTATATGTATGTATTACCACGATGTACTGAACGGGGTGAGAATAGCTTGAGCTACCTCATCCCTTTGTGTGTATTTTACCTCAATAAACTTATTTCAATTACACTTGGAGAACTGCACGCAGTTATATATTGGGGTATTTAGTGCAGAGTTCAAATGACAAGTTATAACCAGTATTATACAAAATATTTATATCTCTGAAATAGAATGTCTGTCTCAGTTCAAGGTTGGAGGTCGGACGGTTGCGGTTAGCCTCACACAACTTTCCATGGTCAATTTTGATTGTATGGCGAGTGTCATAAGGGTGTTAGGGTCGACTCCCATGTCCCGCGTAAAGTAGAATGGGATCTTTTTTCGCGACAACTACGACTCGTATAAGGTCTGAAATGTGGGTATGATTGTCCATAGAGTGTTTTCCAACGTATTGATCAGCTGTTATCGATAATGTTGATTCAATATTACTCAAGCATGTTTTGCCCACTAGAAGAGAGAACGGGAGTGATAAAAGGAGAGAGGAAGGTAGAATGGGAGGGGAAAATGGTAGTAGGAGGGTGGAGGAGAATGGGAGAGAGGAAGAATTGAAGAGAGAGAAACGGACCCGGGCACCCCTGGGTACCCCCCCCTTGCAAATAATTATATAAACATAACCCATTAATGATTAACATTATTTCATAATAACCAACATGCAGTCGCTGTGATCCACGCCATAATGTAAAGGTTAGGCTTACATGTCAACAAATGCAGGACCAATATAATATTAATATTAGTTGTCCATCTTTTGTGTAAACATTTTTGGAATCAATAATTAACTCTTCACAATTATTAAAAAAAACATAATTTAAATGACGATAGTACAATTAACACATTGTTTTATATATATATATATAATATATATATATATATATATATATATATATATATATATATATATATATAACAAATGTGAAAAACATTCAAAATTACCCTAAACGTAGGTCAAATATATGGGAAGTTTAAAGAGGTATGCTAAAATATAGCTGACCTCACGACCCTGAGTATACTACACCCACACAACACATGGGGGGGGAGAGGAAGCAGAAGAGTGGGTGTGGGTGGAGTTGAGTGAGGGTGGATGGGAGTGGGTGTGGGGGAGTGAGGGTGGGAGTGGGGGAGAGAGGGTGGGAGTGGGGGAGAGAGGGTGGGTGTGGGTGGAGGGAGACGGGTTAATACCTCTACGTGGTTGTTGAGGGCGGCCAGGTGGAGAGCCGTGTAGCCGTCATCCTTCTTCTCGTCCACCATCCAGGACCGCGGCACCTTGCTCAGCAGGATCCTCATGGCGCTGCAACCATTACACAATGTCTTAATACACCGGGTTATAGGCATCCTCACATTCTTAATTCCTAAGCCTTAATTCCTAATCCTTAATTAATCTTAATCCTTAATCTCGTTTTCCCTGACCACTTCTGCTTGCAATGTCACCAGTTGCAACATGACGACAGCCCACAAAGGTTATCCGAGGAGTAAAGCGTTTGCAACAACGTTGACTTCAGTGTTGCACACAAAGGTACTCCTGCCACCAACATGGAATCAGTGAATTGCCACAAGTACAGTGAACGGCATTAACAGCGCTGTTTTGTCCCCAATGCTGCAGAGACCCCCCCCCCTGGTGCCTGAGGTAATGGTGCCACGAGTTTCCTTAAAGATTTGGGTTCTAGGGTTATCAAAAGAACAAAAGGGCCAAGAGCTGCCAGCCTCCTCTGGTAGTACAGAATAGGATACACAGTGCGCTCTTGGCTATAACCTGAAGATATGTAGATGGGACATTATCTTGAAATGATTTCGGGGCTTAGCGTCCCTGCGGAAATCAGTTGATTGATTGATGGTTGAGAGCCGGGCCCAAAGAGTCAGAGCTCAACCCTTGCAATCACAACTAGGCGAGTACACACACACACACCCGTACCTTGTTAAGCACAAGACGAAGTTTGAAAAAGTTCAGAGGTATGCCACTAGGCTAGTCCCAGAACTAAGAGGCATGAGTTACGAGGAAAGGCTGCGGGAAAATCATCTCACGACACTGGAAGACATGATCACTACCAACAAAATTCTCAGGGGAATTGTCAGGGTAGATAAGGTTAAACTAGATAAGGTTACACGGGTGGTACGCGAACAAGAGGACACAGCTAGGTGGAGACTGAGTACCCAAATGAACCACAGGGACGTTATAAAGAACTTTTTCAGTGTCAGAGTAGTTAACAGGTGGAATGCATTAGGCAGTGATGTGGTGGAGGCTGACTCCATACACAGTCTCAAATGCAGATATGATAGAGCCCAGTAGGCTCAGGAACCTGTACACCAGTTGACTGACAGTTGAGAGGCGGGACCAAAGAGCCAGAGCTCAACCAAGCGCAAATAGACGAGCACAAATATGTGAATACACACACAGACACACACACTAACTCCACCACCCACAAACACAAGTTTGTGGCCACTATAAATACCAGCAGAAGCGGTCTGGGGGAAGCCTCTCCCCTACTACCCCACAGCGAGTGAAGGCGCCTCTTCCCCCGCCGCCCCGTCCTCCCTCCCTCACTGTGGGCACCCGCCTGGCACCCAACTCCTGCCCGTCGTTCCTATCTTCCCATCCCTCGTACCATCTTCTCTAACTAACTTACTTACTTCAGGCTTTGGACGCCTGGTCGACGACCGGGCCGCGGGGACGCTAAGCCCCGGAAGCACCTCAAGGTAACCTCAAGGTAACCTCAAGGTACTCCCTCCCTCAAGCGCGTGCTCATTATCTCCCCCACTGGTTCACCCCCACTCTAACCATCACCACCCACACCCCCACCCTTCTATTTTAATCTCTCTCCTTCCTCTCCTTACCCTACGTCCCTTCCCTTCCACTTTTTCCATCCCTATCACAACTCTTCTTTTCCTCCTCCTCCTACTCACTCACTCACTCACTCACTCACTCACTCACTCACTCACTCACTCACTCACTCACTCACTCACTCACTCACTCTCACTCTCTCTCTCTCTCTCTCTCTCTCTCTCTCTCTCTCTCTCTCTCTCTCTCTCTCTCACTCTCTCTCTCGCCACCACCACCCCAGCTGCCCTCATGACGTCACTTCCTCTTCAGTTCGTCCACAGTGCATCTCGTTACTTGACTACCTAACTCTGGTCAAAGGGATTATCACCATTACAATTCTTATTATTCGATCTGCGTAAGACAAGCTCTCTCATGCTACCCGAGTTCACCTGAACGCCAGGTGAGTCACGTGTGGGCAAGAGTGGAGCGTAGAGTTGGAGCCACGTGTGGGCAAGAGTGAAGCGTAGAGTTGGAGCCACGTGTGAGCAAGAGTGGAGCGTAGAGTTAGAGCCACGTGTGAGCAAGAGTGAAGCGTAGAGTTGGTGCCACGTGTGGGCAAGAGTGGAGCGTAGAGTTAGAGCCACGTGTGGATAAGAGTAGAGATTAGTGTGGATTAAGAGTAGTAGACGGGATCGCCCCAGACCGTGATCCCGTCTGGCCGACCGACAGGCTCATCTGAGTTGCGGGAGCATTATGTAACGGGGCTCTCTCTCTGCTGGACAACCTGTGGTAAGGCTTCTCTTAATAATGTCATTAACCTCGCCGTGTCTTGCATGCCATCCTCCCGTCCTTTGGCAGAGAAGGCCGTGCCGTCCGTACCTGTCGGCCATTGCCTCGTTGCAAAAACCTTTGTGGAGTGTGTTTAGTGTGTGGTGAAACAGTCATATCTGTTGGGTTATATGACAAGCCAGAGGGTGGGGGGGGGGGGGGGTTGGAACTGTTAGGGATGAAAGCCAGATGGGTTTTGATGATAAGCTCGGGGCTTGGAGGGTGGGTTAGGGGAGGAAATCCAAGTGAAAGCTGAATTTACTTGGTAAATTTATATGTGAAATTGATAAATAAAAAGCTATGAAGTAGAAGCTGCCTGATACCTGTTCCCTGTTTATTACCTCGCTGAGAGTAAAGTTGACTGGCTTGGTTTATGTGAGAACTGTGGTCTGATGGGTTGTGTCCAAGTGAAGACAATCTTTCACCTACTTAGGGTAAATATCATCATAGTGTGAGGGTTCTTAAGTTTTAAAGTAGACTCACTTTGACATTTGCAGGTGCTAAAGTATTTGTTTGAGGGCGTCTAACAGCTGAGTGGACAGCGTTTCGGATTCGTAGTCCTGAGGGTTCGATACCCGGTGGAGGCGGAGACACATGAGGCAAAAAGTTTCTATTACCCTGATGCTCCTGTTACCTAGCAATAAATAGGTACCTGGGAGTTAGACAGCTGTTACAGGCTGCTTCCTGGAGGTGTGTAACAAAAAGGAGACCTGGTCGAGGACCGGGCCGCAGGGACGCTAAGCCCCGAAATCACCTCAAGATAGAGAACATACCTCGGTGTCTTCTCGGAGGAAACTTTCAATACGGGTATAGCAGTGCAAGGAAGATCCCCTATTGTTGCTGTCTTACCCAGCCCCTGGTGGCTGATGTTATCATAGGAAGAGAGAGAGAGAGGAATCCTTTGGTGTTATCTAAAGATGGATGCCTCCACTACCGCTCACAAGATGGTCATGGGGTCCACTACCACTCACAGGATGGGTATGGGGTCCACTACCACTCACAAGATAGGTATGGGGTCCACTACCACTCACAGGATGGGTATGGGGTCCACTACCACTCACAGGATGGGTATGGGGTCCACTACCACTCACAAGATGGGTATGGGGTCCACTACCACTCACAAGATGGTCATGGGGGTCCACTACCACTCACAAGACGGTCATAGAGGTCCACTACCACTCACAAGATGGTCATGGGGTCCACTACTACTCACCACAGGATGAGGATGGGGAGCACAATAAATGAACTCAACTATAACTTACAAAGTCAGCACTGAAGCCGCCTACTCAATCATTCTCAACTTTCAGTTTCAGTTGAGAAGGGTCAAAGAGTAGACGGAAAAGGTTCGTCTAATTGTTTATAAGAATACGTTCCCTGCCAATACGATATATTACGGTCCCAGATGGAGTATACCCGGCGGTGCCCGGGTCGACATCAAAGGGTTGCACAAATGAGGTGCTGGGAGCCCGCGTCAACCCCGCTGCTTGGGTCGACAAGGGGCCCCCAAAAGGTATAGTGCCTTTTGTCTTATAGTGCCATATAGAGACCGCTTCCCGGTTCTAGTATAGAGAACTATAACTTCTATTGCTTCTAGAACGGTTCTAGAAGCTCGAAGAAGATTAAGTAATCAAATTCTAGCGGGGGGGAAGACACGGCTAGCCACCTTTTAACTTCACTGATTTCTATGTTGCTGTGAGAGCTGGGAGTCGGTCCCATTCTTTTAAGAGGAGCGATTCACTCCGACCTATGATGGTTACATCCACTTCACCAGTTACCCTGCAAAGGCCACTATATATACACTTAGATACTTAGATCAGTCGCCGAGGCTTCAGCGTTCAAGCAAGCTCGGGACATCTCACCCATTTAAAGTTTGAGAATAGGTTGAAGACTTTTCGTCCCGAGGGCCTCGAATCCTTTCCTTTACCGGACGAAATTTATTCCTGAAGTTCCGGCTATCCCGCGGGAAGCTGTGGAGGACCGTGCTACTGGATGGTTCCATTAGCTAGCTTCGCCCCTGTACCCACCTTCGCCCCCGTACCCACCTTCGCCCCTGTACCCACCTTCGCCCCCGTACCCACCTTCGCCCCTGTACCCACCTTCGCCCCCGTACCCACCTTCGCCCCTGTACCCACCTTCGCCCCTGTACCCACCTTCGCCCCCGTACCCACCTTCGCCCCCGTACCCACCTTCGCCCCCGTACCCACCTTCGCCCCTGTACCCACCTTCGCCCCCGTACCCAGCTTTGACGATGATTGTACACGTCAGCTTCGCTCCGGACCTCCACCGACGTGTCCTCGGGTAAGGTGATATACTTCAACACAAGCTCGAGGAGAGAGAATTATTCCCAGGTTTTCTCGATTTGTATATTACGCCACTGGTGAGGGGCGGGGCGTGTGAGGGGGAGGGAGCCCAGTGTTTAATCTTAGGTAATCCTCCATTTTAGAGGGAAGGAAGGAAGGGAGGGAGGTAGCAGGGATGGAAGGGGAGGGAGGGATCGTGGAGGGGCAGCAACACGTGGCGACACCACAAATAGCTGCAAGCATACCCTCCCCTGGGGGAGGGGGAGGCTGGGGAGGGGGGAAGGGGGGGGGAGGCTGGGGTCGGAAGGATGCTGGGGATGATGGGGCCAGTCTTGTACTGCATCAAGATGATTAGGCATCAACGTCAATGCCATGACAGGTAAGAAAAATCTTTTGATCAGTACT